GCAAAGAGACAGTTAGGTTAATGATAGTGTACACAGAAAACAAAATGGAATCAACAGAAAACTGTGGAGTTATTAGACCAGTTTAGTAGGGTTGCAGGATACAAGATCAATATTAAAAATTCAGTGGGATGCCTCTACAGTAATAAAAACAAACAAACCAAATACAGAGAAGGAAACTAAGAAAGCAATACCACTTTCAATAGCCAACCACAAACTGAGATATTTGGGAATGAACTTAACTAGAGACACAAAAACTTGTACCAAAAAAACGAAAGAAAGTTTCTGCAAGACACAATAAAAGACTTAAATTTTTTAAAATGTGCTCTATTCATAGATAGGAAGGATTAATATTGTAAAAAGACAGTCCTACCAAAAGCATTTCAATGTTCAATGCAATCCCAATACAGATACTCATCTTTCAAATATATTGAAATGGAAATTATCTAGTTAATTGGAGAGGATAAACTGAGGGTAGACCAAGAATAAGCAAAACACTTCTGATAAAAATTAAGTGGGAGGTATAGTATTCCCTGACCTCAAAAACTACCATACAGTATTAGTAACCAAAACAGCATAGCACTGGCACATAGAACAATGGAACAGAATAGAGAACCCAGAAATGGACCCATCTATCTATAGTCAACTGATATTCAACAAGGAAATACAACCTTTCAAATGGGGAAATGACAACCTATTCAACAAATGGTGCTGGCAAAACTGGACTGCTACCTGCAGAAAGCAGAAACAGGATCCACATTTCACACCATACACAACAATCAACTCAAGGTGGATCAAAGACCTGGGAATAAAGCCTCAAATCATAAAATTCATAAGACACAAACAAGGAAGGATCAAGTTAAAAGGCCTAGTCTACAGTATAAAGAGACTGCCAAGTACAGCCAGAAATGCAAAATCTGGAGAGGATAAATTTGATTAATTTAAAGATTAAATCTTTGTGCTCATCAAAACTTTTTCCCAACAGGGTGAAAAGAAACCCTACTGACTGGGAACAAACATTTGGCAATACCATTTTGGACACAGGTCACATAACAAAACTTTACCGAATGCTCCTGGGCCTCCAGAAGAGAAAAACTGATTACCCAATTACAAAATGGGCAAAAGACGTGGAAAGACTTTTCATAGAGCAAGGCATTCATGTGGGTACATGCAATAAGGGAGATGCAAATCAAAACCACAATGAGATAGCATCTCACCCCACTATCAGTGTCAAAGTTTCATAGGGCACCAATCAATAAATGTTGGAGTGGGTGTGGAAAGGGGAGAACTCTCATACACTGTTGGTGAGTTGTAGATACAAACAGTATTTGTACAACAATGTTCATAGCACAGTCATATACCATTGCAAGAACATGTCCAATCACAACTGAATGGATTGAGAAATTGCAGTACCATCCCACAATGGAATATTATGCAGCACTCAGGAGCAACAGTTTTGAAAACTCCTGTGTAACTTGGGAGAGGTTGGAGAGCATTATGCTGGGCTTACTAATTCAGTCTCATCAGGACAATAATACATAAGGTAATTGTTGTAAAAAAAATAGGATAATAAAACATACAGGAACTCAAGTGGGGGGAATGAAGTGGTGAACATAGGTAGAGTGAAAACTTCAGGGCTGCATAGTTTCTTGGGTGGAGGGAGAGGGGGGAAGAAAATGGGAACGATCTGGGTGGAAAGAGAGCATAATGATGGGCAAGGTCCAATGGTGTTTGAGTTTACAAAACAATTTATGAGAATGATTGTATGAAACAAAATGTGAATGAAGAATAGTATGAAACACAATGTATAAAAACTTTGTAAGCAAACTAATTAAAAATAATTTTAAAAGAAGAAATTCTCAAAGATGAAAGATGAGTAAAATTCTGTCACTAAGAGCTAATATGTATTATTATTGTTCTGAAATAAAGATGAAAGATGTTGTTTCCCTAGTCGAATGAAAATGAAAAAAGGAAGTACCCTTTCTAACTCATGGGAGGTGGGGAAGCTAAAAAAATTATGCTGATCATATTAATTCTAAAACATCTTTACATTTCTTTGTTTCTGGTTCATATAGGAGCCAAGCATAATGTCATTCTTTAGGGGCTGATTTCTCCTGATAACTTGTCCAAAGTATGTGAGATGAAATCTTACTGCTTTCACTTCTAAGACACTTAGGGCTCCAAGAAAAATTTGTTTGTTCTACTGAAAATTATCCAAAAATGACTGCAACAGCACATCAACAGAGAACTGCCAGAGGTGCAGGCTGGGTTTAGAAGAGGCCATGGTATTAGGGATATTGTATCTATGTTAGATGTATAATGGCTGAAAACAGAGAGTACAGTAGAATGTCTATATGTGTTTCATTGACTATGCAAAAGTATTTGACTGTGTAGATCACAGCAAACTGTAGCTAACTCTGAGAAGAATGGGAATCACAGAAGAGCCCATAGTCTGGGAAATATTATTGCTGATGTCATATGGATCATGACTGAGAACACTCAATACCAGAAAGATGCTTATTTGTGTTTATAGACTATTTATAGACTATTCAAGGGCATGTCTAACCATGTCTAACATTAGGAACAATGGGATCCCAGAATACTTAAATGTGCTCATGCAAAACCTATACATAAACCAAAATTCAATTGTCCAAAGAAACTAGGGAACACTATTAGACTAAAAATCAGGAAAGATGTGCATCAAAGTTGTATCCTTCATCCCTAACTGATTCAATCTCTATGCTTATAAAATCACTTGATAAGCTAGACTATAGGAAGAGGATTGCTGTTCAACAACTTTTGTTATGCAGATGACACAACCTTGATTGAAGAAAATGAAGAAAATCAGACTACAACTTCAGGGAGCTCTGGTGGCCTAGTGGTAAGAAGCTGCACTGCAGTCCAGAAGGCATATGGTTTGAATCTACCAGCTTCTCCAGGGAAGAAAGATGGGCAATCTCTTCCCATCCAATTAACTGCCTCTGAAAACTCATCGGAGGGTCAGCTATGGATCGGTTCCAACTCGATGGTACACAACAACAACAATAACAACAACAGGCTTCAATGTGGATTACACCTCAACATCAAGACAACAAAACTCTTCTACACTGGACTAGTAGGAAAATGTAGATGAAGAAAAGATTAAAATTGTCAAGAATTTAATTTTATCTGAAACCAGGATCAAAACATGTGGTAGTAGAACTTTGTAAGCAAAAATGGTGAAATTTTGTCTCACATATTTTTGTCATGTTATAAGGAGAAACCAGCCATCAGAAAAAGAAATGACGGTCAGTGAAATATAGGAAGACTTCAATGAGATGGATTGATACAGTTACTGTAACAATGAACTCAAGCATATCAGAAATTATGACGATAGCACAGGATAGGGTAAAGTTCCATTCTGTTTGTGCATGAGATTGCTGTCATAGTCAACTTGACAGCACCTAATAATAACACTTGGGATAAAGGGCTACCCTAGTCCACAGTCTGCTATTTTGCATGCTAAGAGTAGTTTGGATTGGATGGCAGTTAGATGTTGATACAAGCTCAGAGGCCTACTCAAATAGGTTTTCAAATAGGTAGATCTGAACTACAAGCAGACAGAGTGACCTCTGTGAATAAAGATTTCATATAAACTGGAGAATAATATGGAACATTAGTAGTAAAGTGGATAATTCTACTGCCTTTGCTTACATGCTTCCTCTGCTCCTTTCCTTGTCCTAATAAGAAGGAAAATTGTATAGAAGAGGGAAACTAGACAGAAAGCATATAGAGCCAGAAAATATTGGTACTGCCACTCTAAATCAGAAGACTAGATGCCAGCCTCAGCTCAGTATTATTCCCTGGCCTCTGAAAAGTGTGCAGACTTCACAGCACCTATTCTGCTCTTCTGTAACTCATTCCTCAAGCCAGAGGAGCAGGTTAGAGATGGAAGCAGTTTACCACTAGTTGGAAAGAAAAAAAAATGCATTTCTATAAATTCTATTCTGATTCATGGTGACCTCATATGTTGTAGAGAAGAATGACACTTCATAGGATTTTCAAGGATGTGACCTTTCAGAAGTAAATTTCCATGCCTTTCTTCTGAGGTCATTTTGGTGGCTTCTCACCACCAGCATTTCAGTTAGTAGTTCAGCATGTTACCATACGCACCAAAAATGGCAAATACAGACAGCATAGTACAGTGACAGTGATAAATTTATTACTGGCTGGTGGCTGATATCAGACAAATGTAATGAGAATTATTATGACAGTGGTGTTCAACAGAACATTCTACAAGATTGTGAAAGTTATAGTCTGTATAATTCTTGTTATGTGCCATCAAGTTGACCATGGCTCATAGACTGTGAACCCTGCCTTATCCTGAACCATCCTCATTGTCTTTGGAACACCTAACCCATTGCCACAGGCACTGTGTCAATCCATCTCATCCAGATTCTTCCTCTTCTGTGCTGACTCTCTACACTTTCAAGCATGATGTCATTCTCCAAGGACTGATTCCTCCTGACAACATGCGTGAAGTATGTGACATGGAGCTTCAAAATCCTTGCCTCTAAAGAGCAAAATGGTTTCACCATCTCCAGGAAAGACTTGTTTGTTCTCTTGTCAACCCATGATATGTTCAATACTCTTCTCCAGCATCACAATCCAAAATCATCAGTTGTTCTTCTATCATGTTTAGTTATTCATTGTCTATCTCTCAGTTCTTCTCATCTCCTGGTGGAGGGTGGAGCTGGGAAGTAAGTGGGTAATGGCACTGGGCTAAGGGTGGGGTCAACACTTTAACTAACACTTATCCCCACAATAAGGGATTTATCTTTAACTGC